GCCCAGTGGTGTCCCCCAAGCTCAGAATTGCTCTGTCCTTGCCGAAGAGAGCAGTTTGCAGGCAAAGCCTGTGCCTGGCTTCCCTCCCTGGTTGGGTGTCAGTAACAGGAAAAGGGCCCTAGCTGCAGAAGAGGAGAAGGGGGCAGGGTGGGCAAAGGGAGCGAACAGCTGCGTGCTCCATGGGGAGGATCCCCAAAATAGCAAGGCACATGCGCACTGCAGGCCTTGACCCAGAAGGCTCCGAGTTGCACTGTAAACCCAGCTCTCCTCTGTGCAATGGGGCTGCTGATGAGACCACAGCCATCCTTAGGGGTCCTCTGTATTCCAAACAGCTCCAAGGACACATTGTTCCTTGCTTTTCTGGTGGAAAAAAATAATTTTGAGCCAATGCCAATTTTTGATTGTTAAAAATGTGCCAAGAACAGCCATAGCCTGTGTGCTGTAGGACAAGACCACATCTCTGTCTTATGCATCATAATCTTAGAGACCCTGAAGTAGACAAGGAGCTCACTTCACCATTGTGGCAACTGGGGCCCCAAGGCTCATGTTAAGAACTCAGTAAGTAGTTGGGTCTGCTCCGAGGCAACATCTGGGTCTCCACAGTGCAACCAACATACATAGGATTCTCTCTCTTGAGGCCAGACTTTCACCTGTAGCAGGCCTACAGCCTACATGAAGTAGAGAATACTGGCAAAGACACCAACCGTTGAACCTTGAGATTTCAGCGTCACTTCAATTCTCCACACGCCTTCCCATACAACTCCAAAGCAGCCTGGTTTGCTGCCAGGCTGGAAGTAGAAAGGGAATGAGAGAAAGATGCTAGCTGCTCTTCACCTGTTATGCCACTGGGGTGAAAGCACCAGGACACCTGGAAATCGCTTCTGTCCACTGCTCTTTTCTGAGACTCCAGGGCTGAGTGTATATATTGGAGCCTCTAACCTAGGCATAGGAAGCAGAGTTGCTCCACGTGGTCTCAAACTTCAACAGAGAATAGACTTGCTCTCAGTGAGGGAAGACTACAGCCCTGGATCCCAGAATCTAGCCTAGAGCTATGCATGTCCAAGAGGTTCTGGGATTGTGGCAGGAGGCCAGACATAGACAGGCCCTTCTAAATCATATCAGTGCTCTCAGAATTCAAGATGAAGGGGACTTGTTCCAGGTTATTCCACTATTCACAGCTTTGAAACTCTGAGATCTCCTTTGTGAGTTTAGTACTTTGTGTGCAAAGAAAAGAGATGAGCTCCAAGGTCCATGGGCACAGACCTTGACCTGGATTCCACACCACAGAGGAGGTGAAGAGAGCGCCTCCTACTGGGTATTCTTAAAGAAATGGGTCAGCTGGAACAGGGGACACTACTATCTGAGTCATCCAAAAGCTCCACATACTCTTTATGGGGTGGCGATATGTGCTCTTTTTCCAGAATGCAGTTCCTCACTTTCAATGAGAGGTGAGGAGACAGACTTGGATGGGTTTGTACTATTCAGTAGGACAGAGCATACTGCCTTTAGGACGGCCTATTCAATGTGGATGTAGCTCCCCACCCTCTCACTTGTTTTTCTCTACAAGGTACTGGCTTCCTCAGGCCTTAGTATTTTTTACGTAAAGAAAGTGATAAGAACATCCTCTCTTTCAGGCAAAGAGTAGTTGGCAAGCTTATAAGGGATACTGGGCATGCCAACTTATTGTAACCTATAGAGTTATTTAGTAACATTGAGGCACTGAATACAGATGATGAACAGAGTGTACATGCCCTTTTCTTCCCCAAATTTAGTGACTTAACTTCCCCATTTTTTATTATACTTAGAGAGTTTATGGTATTTCTTTTGGCAGTAATGGGGACTGAAAGTGGAGTTTGGGGCATGCTGCAAAAGCACTGTGCCCACTGGGCTAGAGCCCCAGGCCAACTCCTCCACTTTGCTTAGAAAGTGCTGGAAAAATGGAATAGGTGGTGACAGGGGCATAAATGATACATGACTCTGTAGGCTCTGGAGCCTCAATGCCTTCGAGCCTTTTGATCAGCCTACTGGATCTGTAGAAGGAGTCCAGTCTTAACTTCAAAGGAAAGGACGTGATGTTCCACACGCCGACGCTGTCTACTAACCTTGGCCACATGGGCAAGCATTGCCAGAGGAAACCTCTTTTTTTGGGCCACAGCAATCATTAAGTGATCCTGGTACAAGATGAACAATGATGCTGAAAAGGAACTTGAATCACTACATTTCTTTACAATGCACTCAGCATTTTGGTTTATAAACAAGCTTTCCATCTAAGGAGCAGCAGGGTACAGCACAAGAAAAAGGGCCCTGTAATCTGCCTGTTAATAGGTCTGTGACTTGGCTCAAGGTGCTTAGCTTCTCTGCACCTCAGTTTCCTTAGGGTAATCAGGAGAGGGCTCTCGAAATGCTAAGCAAAGTACTGCCATCTAGTCAATGCTGAACTCAAGGTTCTTGCACTTGGTTTGTCTGAATTGTGTTTTTTCTATAGGGCAGTGGATGAACACTGCAGTTATTTAGGAGCAGGTGTAAGGCTAGAACCCCAGGCTCTTGGGCCCTGGCTTGAGGCTAAAAATATTGGTCACTTCAAATTCCCTTCTTTCTTCAAAGGATCTCTCAATTGTTCATATGAAAATTCCAGAGAAGTTAAAATGCTCTCCTCTAGTGGCACATGCCTGTAATCCCAGCACTCAGTAGATTGAGTCAGGAGGGTCATTACTTCCAGGTCAGTCTCGGCTACAGGATGAACGATTCTGTCTCTATGTAAACAAATCTCTCCTGTCAGACTGATAGAAGTTTATTTTATGATTTTAATGTGATACAGTTTTTTTTTTTTCTGTTAGGTTGGTTTTCAATTCAACAAAAAGAAACCAATTAAGGTTACCCCCCAGAGCAGATTTCTGTGTTCGGAAGGCTTTCGGGCTGATGTCAGGTGGCACAAACAATGAGCTCCCAGACTCATGTTGTTTCTTGGGACCAGAGAGCAGTATTAACCCTGGATGTCATTAAGTCTCAGAAAGACAGCAACAATGGAAACCTTTGAAATCCAGCTAAGGCCACACGTGGCAGCGCAAGGCTGGTTACTGCTAAGTACAGCCTTCTTCCATGATGGTTTGAATTCTTACAGAAACTTCTTTGAACAGCAGGTCTTCTTGTTGTTGTTGAACACCCAAGGATACGCTGCTATTAACCTGTCAATTTCGGAATCTTACTTTTCTAATAGCCTGCTGTTCAGATCGCCAGCATCTGCCCCAAAGCTGGAAGCTAACACTGGACACCTTCCTGAGGCTACAGGGATTGATTGGCCACTAAAACCCAGCTGCTTTCTCAGCACACCAAGAGCTGCCTGGATGGTTACGGATGCGAGCAACAGTGCTTACCGGGCACTGGGTAGTGGGCTCTTTCAGCACCATCCGTTCTGGTGACCACATGTGTCTTCCAAGACAGATGCAGTTTCATCTGGGAAGAAGGCTCAGCTGATGGAGCTGTCTTCAGAAACTTGGGTAGGTATATTTTTGGACCCCTTCAATTGGGGCAAAATCACTGGTCTTCTACGTCAGCTTGGCACTTCAAAAATAGCCAGGCCACTCTGAGCCAAAGACAGAGAATGAGGTGTGCCATGGAGGAAGAAGAGCTGATTGTGATTAAGTGTAAGGTGTGACTCTAAAGCAATGAATGTGCATTTTTTTGGGTAAGGCTTACAAAGGGTTCAAGCAGTCATTTGCCGTGAGAACCCAAGCCGGAAAATGGCATTAGCAGTGGTAGCTGCTCTTGAGTGGGAACTGCTCCGAGGACCCACTCCCAAGACAGCCATCCCTATACAGATGGAAACAAAAGTGCCACTCACTTACCAGACACACTTTAGTTTTACAAAGTATCTGAACAGTAAGTGAGGAACAGGGAAACCTCCTTCCTGTACCTATAGCCCACCCACATTTATGCCTAGGTTTTGGCCCAAGTAAGTGGAAAATAAAGAATTTAAAATCAAGCCTAAACTGGGGACATGCTAGGTGCTTTCCTTTGTAGACTCAGATGTTAACCAACAAAGAGCAGTCCGGAACATAAAGGGTGGTTACAACGGATGTTAGAGACTCTCTTCTGGGAATGTGTCAACTGGTGACTGGCAGGTCATAAACAGGTCACACTGGCCAACCAATCTATTTGTCTCTGGCCATCCCATGTGACTGCCCATTCCTGTGAAGGTTGTGGTACTCCAGTCACCGGAGTTTTTAGAAGGTTATGCACTTGACTTAATAGCGTCTCCTCAACACATTGTTGACAATGAAAGGAAAAAAGAGAAATATGATTCAATCACTCACACCTGTACACAGAACAAAATCCCTAAAATGAACAAAGCAGATTGCCCTGGGAACTGGGGAAGATAAGTCTCCCAGTTCTGTGAAATGACATTACCTCAGAGCTCAGGGCTCCCAGGTCCATGAGCAGGAAGGAAACAGACCCATGGCTCTATAGGAACCATTTCCCCTCTGCTCTATTACTTTCAGAGATTAAGCAAGCCACTCCTCTGTGGGCGAATACCCCGAGATAACAGCCATTGTGTGTGCTGCAGCTCCTGCTAACCTAATCTTGGTAGAGTGGTGATGGTGCAGGCACCGGCTGTCAGACTCCAGCAACCAGAGGCTCTCATACTTCCTACCGTCAAGCTTTCCCTTAGAGCTACTACTGGAACCCCTAATACTAAGCCTCAGACACTTGGGCCATGGCTGAATTCCTAAAGAAGGAAGCACAAATGTGACAGTGACTTTGAGAAAAGATATTAGGGTTGGACAGTTAAATAGGAATCCTTTCCTTTGCCCAATTTCTTAGTATTTTTATTATAGAAACCCACAGGGGCAGGGGTGGGTCTTTTTGATTCAAGTCTCTTATATGTTCAGTTAGTCTCCAATACAAATATGCACAAAGAATTTCAACAACACATCTCATGTTCAAATGTAAGGTTAGAAACATTCAACATCCCCCCTCCCCGCCATAGCCCATTTTCTGACCGATTCCTGGAGCCTTCTGGACTCCTGACGATTTCCCGCCATGTTGAAATGGGGCAGCATGCTCTCGAGTATGAGTCGACTTTTCCAGTCATCCATTGTTTGACCTGGAATTTTATTCTTGACTCTCCAAGGCGTTTTCCAAACGACCTAGACACAGGGCTTAAGGAGACAAAAAGTATACTCTCTTTCAGACATGATGATGAGACCTTGACCCCGTGAAGCACAGACTTTCAACTCTGAAGGCAGGCTTGTGTAGTATCTGCCTCATTCATTTTTCTGTCTCTTTCCACTATGCCACCCTCATAGGCCACCTCCCGCCACCCCACCCCCGGAATGAGGAATACTTCTGTGAGCCACTTGCCCAGGATAAAATGGCCATCCATGCCATGAGATAGATAAGCTGTACTAGAACACAGAGGAGCAGGTGGAGGAGGAGCTTGATGAGACTAAAAGAGCGCTGGAATACAGTTGGGCAAAGGGAGTCCTAGTTCTGGCTTTGATTTTGTGTGGGACACAGGGAGGGCTCTGTTATTTTCTGAGATAGTTCATTTCAGTGACAGACTCAAATTGATGGCTTAGAGCCTTTGCAACTCTGGCCACATTAGTACCCAGCCAAGTGATCAGACCAACAATTCCAATCACAATTGACACCAGGAAAGAAGGAATGGATGCGGAAAGGGGCTCCAGACAGCCTGGTGCATCACTTGACAGGGCACCAAAGGAGCTACTCCAGCACATCCTGCAGGCCGGATGAATAGACATGCAAACCCAGGAAAAGCTCTTTTCTGTTTTCCACAAACTACATGTGAGATAAAAACTATGTTAAGGTATTCAAATACGGGGTTAGCTTTCGTTGCTATAACCTTTCTTGCCTATATCGTACCAGGCACCACAATCTTGATTTTATAAAAGTCAGAAAACCACTTCCCCCCATATTCCCACTGAGTGAAAACAACTCCTCTGTCATGTTATATAAAACACACATCAGAGGATTCTGAAGATAGAGAGAATATAAATTGACGAGGAACCTTGGAATCTAATGAGTAACACTGATGAGTTCCCTGGGATTTCTTTTGCTTCAAATATTTTACTAGATTTAGAGCCAAAGAAACCAGCAACCTCAAATGCCAATGGGCACAAACAAATACTCCAACAGAGGCTTGCTTTCAGGACCAGGAAAGAGCCCTTTGAGACAGAAAACCTTAACCCAAGCCATTCTAATCTAGCTAAGCAACAGAAAAGACACTGTAGTGTCACCCCATTCCACCACCCAAGACCAAGGAGGGGAGTCTACTGTACCCCTACTTGGCAGCAATGAGACACTTCTGTCAACCCCACAGGAACGCTGGTAGGAGATGTCTGGTGTGGACTTGGATACATCAGGCTTGCCTAGCAGTAATGAGGGGTCCCAGCCTACTTTACATCAAAGAAGCTGTCTGGGTTACTTGGACTTCTATATTACCAGGTAAAAGAAAGATGCTATCCCTCTTTCCTGCCAGACCAATCAAAACAGAAGATTTAAATAAAAGCCAGTTTTAAAATATTAAAAATATCCTGATTTTAGTAAAAAGACAGCTATTCCAAGACCAAAAGGTCTAAAGCTTAATGAAAAAAATTATTAATTGAAATGTCACCAAGATGATACAAATATTACAATAACCTGACTAGAATTTTAAAATAGCAGTTATGTAAATGCTTCTCTTAAGAGATACAATAATGCTTTCAACAAAGTGGCAATCTCAGGAAATTGAAATATTAGAACCAGGATCCACAGTGACCTAGATAACCTTGGTGAATGGGACCAAAAGCAGAAGGAAACAGTCAATTTCTTGTACCCTTTGTAGCCCAACTTCTGCAATGTGAAGCCAAAGACTGGGAAAGAATGACAGAAAAATGACACACTACCTATGGGAGACATTAATTTCAATGATGGCAAGTATTTGCTCAGAAGCCATGGAAGTCTCAAGAAAATAATGTAACGATTCTCAAATGTAGGGTTGTGGGGGAGAGCTTCAACACAAAATCTTATTGCAAATGTTTCAGCTGTGGAAGGGGAATCTGGACAATCTTAGATGGAGGGAAACCAAGGGAATTTATCAACAACACATGTCTACTAAGATAATAATTAAAGGGAGTTCTCCACTGAAGAAGAAATGATGTATTGGCAAAGAAGAAAGAACAATAGAAAGAGAAAAACAATATGATTAAATAAAATAGATTTTCCTCCATGCTTAAATTTCATAAATTATGTTGATTGTTGAATTACCAATTATAACATTTTCTAATATAGTTATAAATATGTATGAAAGAAATATTTAACACAATTCCATTATAAACGGAAGTAAAAGGGTAGAGAGAAATGCAGGGTTTTCTACTTCATTAAAGGTAGTAAAATGTTGACACCAGTTGTACATTCATTTTAACACACAGACAGGAGTATTGAGGGCAACTTCCACAAAAAGACAGAGTAAAAACACTATACATGAATCAAATATTATTCTAAATATTACTCAAGTAATGCATAGGCATAGAAAGTTAGTAAAAAGAAAAATTGGGGGAAATCTTATGGGGAACTGAAAGAAAACATATAAATGGGTAGAAAACCCCACTAATATCAGCAGATATATTAAACAATGGCCTAAGAGTTTGGCAAATAAGATAAAAAAAGATAACCTAATGATATAGTATTTCAAGAGGTTTGCTCAAATATAATAATTTAAGGAGATTAATGGCATTGGAATTTTGATTTGAGATGATTGCACTGAGCCAGTAGATTGCTCTGGGTAAGATGATCTTTCCAGAATATTAATACTTCGATCCCATGAGCATGGGATGACTTTCCATCTTTCAGTGTAAATTTCTTTCTTCAGTGTCATAAAATTCCTATTATAAAGATTTTTAATTTTCTTAGTCAGGCTTGTTTCCAAATACTTTGGGTGGCTATTGTGAATGAGATTATTTCCCTTTATTTTTCAGTCTGTTTGTCATTGGTATACAGGAAAGTTGTTGGGCTTTGTGTGCCAATTTTGTATCTTGCCACTTGGCTCAAATTAATTATCTCTAAGAGTACTTTTTGTGGAGTCTTTGGTGTCTCTTATATATAGAATCATCATCTGCAGATAGGGATACCTTGCTTTCTTTCCCTGTTTGTATCCTTTTTATTCCCTTCTCTTGTCATGTTATTCTGACTATGACTTCAAGTACTAAATTAATAGACGGAGAGAGTGTGGACACCTTTGCCTTATTTCTGTTCATAGTGGGAACTCTTTTGAGGTTTTTCTCCATTTAGCATGATGTTAGCAGTAGGCTTGTTGTATATAGCCTGTATTATACTGGGGAATGCTTCCTCCATCCTTTAATGACTTGTCATTAAAGGATGTTGGGGTTTGTTCACAAATTTTTCTGTGTCTACTGAGATGCCCATGTGAATTATCTTTTGTCCATTTAATGATATATGTATGTTGAATCATCCCTGAGTTGATGGAATAAAGCAGGTTAGTCATGATGAATGATCTTTTTAATGTGATTTTTAATTCAGTTTGCCAGTATTGTATTGGAAAATTTCTGCATCTTTATTTATCAGGAAAATCAGTCTGTAATTTTATCTTATTTTATTTTATTTTATTTTTATGCAGTGACTTGATTTGAATATCATCAGGGGACTTCTAGTTTTGTTAAATAAAAGACAGGATGCCTTTTTTTTCTATTTTATGGGATAATCTAAGTAATTTTTAAAAATTCTGGTAGCATTCTTCTATGAATCCATCTGGTTCTGAGCTGTATTTTTTTTTTTTAGTTGGGAGGCTTTTTATTACTGTTTCAGTCTTATCACTGATTATAGATGCTTAAATTATTTATTTAATTTTAGTTTAATTTTGATATGTCATAGGACATCTTTATCAGTTGCCCCATTCCAGGCTCAGGGAATATCATGAAAGAGGCAGAAATACTATAAGACCCAGAGGATGGAGAAAGGGGACATAAAGCTGTTTTCTGGACATGACGCGACTATCAGATTTTTGAACACATAGCAGCTATTGTTACATGCACAAGACAATATAAGGTCAGTCCAGGTCAAATTTTGGCATAGACTGGGGCAAGTGATCTTCAACTCCATGCTATACTGAGGAGTTATTGACAGTATATAGTTGTTGGGGAGCAAGAACCACTCTTTTGTGAGGAAGTGGCCACTGATATACTACCTATGCTCAAGTGGATGACACCACTCTTCTGCACATATGGGCAGCACCAAGATAAGAAGGTGGGAATGCGACATATTAGGGGAATGTGAAGGGCAGCTGGAAAAGGGAAATGGGGAATGGATTTGATCATACTTATTGTATACATGTGTGAAACTTTAAAGAATAAAGAAAAACTATTATAGAAGGAAATAAATTATGTGAACAATAAATGAGATCAAGACTATTCCAGTAATAAAGCTAGATAAGCTAGATTTTAGGGCAAAAATTGATTGAGAATGGAGAAAGACATTACATAATGATAAAGACATCAATAATAAAAAACGTCTTCTAAACAAGTGAGCTGAAAATATAGGATATACAAGTGAACTAAAAAATGATCTACAAAAATTTAGAAGGATTGAAACAATACATGGTATTTTCTGTGACTACAATGGAATCAAACTAGAAAACAATAATAGAAAAAGAGATAAAAATTTCAAAACACTTAGAAACAAAAGTTCTAGCTTTAAAAATTGTGTCAAAATTCTGAAGCAAATAAATATGTTGACTGTGATTATGAATGAAAATGAAACTTGTGGAGTATGAGCAAAGTTGTTCCAAGAGCATCAAACGTTTGCATTAGAAGCGAGGGCATAATTGAAGCTCTCAAAGCACTTTGAAAAAGAAAATAGAAACTCAAAAGCAAGCAGAAGGAAATGATAAAAATTAAAATAAATGATACTGAAAAGAAAAACAATAGAGATAAACCCAATGGGAAAAGCTGTATTTGACAAAGTAAGTAAAGTTATTAAACCTGAAAACTAAAAATTATGACGAATGAAAAAGGAGTGCTTACTACATACCCTGCAGATAAGGAAAACACTGTTATACACATTAAATTTGGAAATTTTAAAGAAATGGAGCAATTTTTCTAAAGGACACGTGACCAAAGGAATTGAAATTGTTAAAATTCCTGAC